TGTAATATTATTGAGCATTGCAAGCATTTTATCGTCTTCAACCTTTTATTAATATCCTTTTTACATGCGGGGACATTTGGGTCGTCCTATAATATATCGTCCTGGATATAATAATATAGATATAACATATGTGGAACGAACTGACTATTTTGTGGAACGATATGATCATGGAACGAAATGACCGGATACCCGTACCTTCGATCATTCGATCTTTCAAAAGTTTCATCTTTTTACGGCAACAGGGTTAACGCTGAATTTGGGAGTATAAGTTACAGATATTGCTGGTGGTTTATGGTTAAAAGAGAAATTAAAACAGTGAATTAACAAGGGGAACGAATGGCGAACATGTAACGAACTCGAACGTAGCGAACTCGACAAGTAGTGAAACCGGCGTAACCATATGATGCTTTCACTGACATGAGTTCCTATTTCGATGTGTCTAATTTAAGCTTCGCCGCGTGATCTTCGTTAGCGAAAAGCTCTAACTGATATTTTGATTGACATGTTGTTTAGGATCCTGAGGTTAACACCTTCTCTCTGGCTAAAATTCCAATTTCTGTGATGTGCCGCCAGACGCCGTGCAAAAATATCACCGCTTGCGGCTCCTCGGGAAGGTGATAAGAAGGAAGGGTATGGACAGGAATTTGAACAGGTCAGGTGTTTTTAGGGCCTATTAACCAAACGCAGTGGATTGAGATTGATACCCTTCTCTTCATAAATGTCAAAAAGTTAATGCGAGGGATCGTTATTCATAGCTTACCTTAAAAGAATGCGAAGATTGGTAGCAGAAATAAGCAGCAATGGGAAATCCAAGAAAGCAGTGTCATTCTTCACTAATTATAGGCTACACAGTGATACGCTGAATAAGAAAATAAAGTCAAACCATGACTTCCAGGATTAACATCGGAGACAGCTTGACCGCTGCCGCGTGTAGCGTCGCAGTTGTGTCCTCCAATAGAATGCGTTTTCATTTCTTCCAATCAAAGTGCGTTGTGATCGTGTCTTCTTCATGTGACTTCCCAACTAGGGGAGGGCTGTAGTATGACTTTTGTTCGTTCGTTTTCGTGATCCCGTGGAAGACTTGTGTATGAAACAGTTTTGGAACGTTTTCCCCGATGGATTTTTGGAGAATTTTACAGAAGTTTGAAGTATGTTCGAAACTTTCCTCAACGCATATGTTCATATGTTGGAGAGCTATAATAGAGTTTGGGACAAGGATGAAAGCGCAAGCCTCGTGCCCAAATAAAGAGTTCGAAGAAGTACAGTACCAAGACGAATGATCCAGTGAGAAGAAGAAGTGATGCAATCATTTTCGAGCTTTTGAGGTAAGGTGTTATTTGCAGTTCTTTCAAAAGGCTGTTTTATATAAGGATTAGAGTCATGGTACAGATAACCTCAGCCTAGGCTAGCTCTTGTTTTTATAGATCGTGAAGTTGTTAGCTATTTTGATTTGTGCCAAATGAGTCACGAAGTACGAATAGGTTTTCAGTGTAAGGGCTTGTTTAAGGGCCCTTACACCTTGACACTCTCACAAATGAAAGGAGTCTGGACCCAAGTATTCGGAGAGATAGCTGATCATAAGATGTCTTCATCGTTTCTCGATAAACATTAAGACTTTTCACCCTGTCGCAAGGTTAGTTTATTGTGTGGCTAACGTACTTAACGGTACAGTGCTCCTAACAGTTAAGTCATGAAGTATGCCGGTTTTTCGATGAGCTCCATAAGGCCTGTTTCAAACGTCGTGCTACTGCCGTGCTAAGCTGGCTCGACTGTAGTTCGACTGCAGCACGACACTAGCACGACTTGGTTTCAGACGTCGAATTTAATTCAGTCGAATAGAACGGCTGTTGCTGAAAACAAAACACAGAAATAAAGAAACGGTTTAGCAAACTTTTAAATACATTCTAATGTATTTATAATTTATGATCGGCACGTCGGTAGCACGACGTTTGAAACCAAGTCGAGCTACTGCCGTGTAGCACGGCAAGGCTTGCCGTGCTACACGGCAGTAGCACGACTTGGTTTCAAACGTCGCACTACTGCCGTGATAAAGTCGAATTTAATTCGATCAATTAAGTTCGACACGGCAGTAGCACGACGTTTGAAACGGGCCTAAATCGTTTCCATTCGTAAACAGGAAAAACATTTCACACCGCTTTGCGTGCGTGTGATTGCTCTTTCCGTTTTAAAGGCAAAACCCCGTTGAACGATGGGTGAACACAATATTTTTTCGGTTATCCAACAAGATGGAAATAAGTAGCCGAGTATTGTGAAGTTTAGCCAAACCAACTGCGCGAAATTATTTACACGTGGACTGAATGAACTTGTATGACTATTGCGATCCGGTATTGCGTTCAGTTTTGTGCCAACTGTTCCGTCAAGCGACTTAGCTTCTAATATTTTTAAGACCCCCAAATTTAAAAAGTTAATAGTTAAATACGCATTCGTTACATTTAAGGGACCCTCGTCTTATCTGTCCTGTAACTTCACTAAAAGTGTCTCCGTCTTACAAATTTTTTTGTAAGTTCAGGCGCTATATAGTTACGCTGCTCTTCTAACATGATTTCAATCACTCTCGTCAGGTGTCATCAGGATAAATCATTACGCGACTGCAAAGAAAACAATTCGTGGACATTCCTATTTGGTTGGCATGCGTGGTTACTAGCCGCAATTGAATTGTGCGATGCTCCGACCAAGGACGTATGATTTTGAACCAGAATTGACATTTGACGAAAGTTTTAAAATATTCCGCTCACTCGAGTAATTCAAGACCTGCACTAGCTGTCGTTGTTCCTTACCGCTTACTTGGCAAAAGCAGATCACTACCGAAATTCCGTTTGGCAAAACAAATGGTTCACAAACCACGGACTCTCGATTCCAAAACGACAGACTCAGTAAATCTTATACAAAAACCTTGCACTTCGTGCGCAATAATACGAAGATGAGCGGCAAATTTACGTCGAGGCCTGGTACAGTTTTTGCACATGTCGTAACATAAGCGTAGTTCACGTGGAAAGCGGGAAAATTAATTGGAAAAATGATGGCCACCCTTTTTTTACGAATCACGACAAAGAAAAAAGCTAAACACAGTTTATGACTATGGTTGGAGAACACAGGGGCATCCAATGGATCTGTTCCTCAAAATATCTGTTCTTCAGGCACATTTTTGCTGGCTGGGAGATGTGGAAGAAATAATAGACCCCCCAAAAGAAAAGTGTTGCTGGGAAAAAGATAATTCAGGGTGTCAGAGGGGATTTGAAGTCTAGAATAGCTGCTACGGGTTGCTTGTATGGGTTACTTACCACTCAAGATCTGAATTGTGCCCTATGAAACTTCCCAGTAAGTCAGGTTGCAGTTTGTACGTTTGCTGGCTGGGAACTCTTCCATCAGTCTTGCTGGGAGTGAGGAACAGATAATTTTTTTCCAGCAATCTCCCAAAATGCTTAAAATAGTCTCAGAAAACTTTATTCACGCTTTGTTGTTGTTTCTAGGTCTTTTTCTCAAAATTTCCCGTTGGGTGCTCCTGAGAACATGCTTGAAAATAACACTACTTCTTTCAAGATAAGCAACATCGGTGAGGATCACTACTTTTGCTCGCTGTAGAGTGAGTGGTATTTCGTTCAAAGAAATTTTTCCATAAACAACCAGCTGGAAGGTCGAACACTATGTTTATTATATAGACACGAGTGTTTTACTGGAAAATATACCACTCATAAAATTCATAAAAACTACATCCGGGACCCGAGTGGTTTATTTTCCATAATCTCAGACGTGAGTTTATTGATGACGTAATTTTGGTAATTTCCTCTATTATTTTATCGATGTCATTTTGTCTATATAATAAAAAGAACATTACACGGCGGCTTGAAGATATGAATTTTATTTTCTCGTGGCAAAAACAATATTTTACTCACTCGCTGCGCTCGTTCGTAAAATATTGTTTTTCCACTCGAAAATAAAATTGACATCTTCGCGCCACCGTGTAATATCCTCTATTTACTTAATTAAGAATGGTCATGGGGTTCCAGATGTTAATTTGTGGAAGTTTACCGTATTTATTCGAATAAGCGCCCAACCTCGAATTAGCGCCCACCTCGAATAAGCGCCCATCCTAAAGGCAGAAAAAATTAATAAGCGCCCAGCCTCGAATAAGCGCCCACCCCCTCCTCCTCCCAATCAAACTCAAATAAGTGCTCACTCCCACCCCACCCACTTAAGTGAATAAGTTCCAATAAGAGACTCCCCCGAGGACTCCCCCTCTTCAGAGTATTTTACAGAAACCTTGCTTTGTTACTTCTTCGCGTTTTGTTATTAGCATTTATTGTTTTGTTGCAAAATAAACATACTTCACGTGCTGAAAATGGTGAAAATTTAATAAGCGCCCACTCTCAAGGTCCAAACATTTAATAAGCGCCCAGGGCGGTTAATCGAATAAATACGGTATTTTACCCCTGTTGGTCTACTATATTAAAGTTTATGACAGCCAACGTCAAAAGAGTATTAGAATATGAGTCGTTGAATCGGTTTGTATTATTCCGTGAAAGGATGAATGGATGATGGCTCAATTGGTAGAGCACTTCACCGGTATCGTAGAGGTCAAAGGGTGTAGCGTTGCAGTTGTGTCCTCCGTTGCAGTTTGGTCCTCTCACCTATCAACCAACAGAATGGCTTCTTATTTCTTCCAAAGTGCGTCGTGATCGTGTCTTCTTCATGTGACTTCCCAACTAGGGGAGGGCTGTAGTATGACTTTTGTTCGTTTCGTTTTCCTTAACCTGAGATCAGGCTCTATTTTCCTTTCGCTTTGAAAATAACATTCCGGCGGGCAAGGCGAAACGAAAATAGAGCCTCATACAAACCTTCTACGAAACGTCTTCAGCCCACTTTTTTGATTGACTGACATTTGCCGAATCAGCCAACCAAAACTACTTCCGTTGCTTGTTTTTTTAGTATGCAAATTTTTCATACGTGGGAAAAATGCAGATAAAATACCGTAAAATTCCGAAAATAAGCCCCTCCATGTATAAGCCCCTCCAAATATAAGCCCCCCAAACTCGTAACGCATAAAACCCTCCATTAAATCGCCCCTCCAAATATAAGCCCCCAGGGGGCTTGTACTAGGAAATTGCCCTCAAATACAAAGTAAAACAAAGTAAAAACAGTACATTTCCTTCCAACTATAAGGCTAGCCTAATCAATTTTGAAACGCAAATTTCCCTCCATAGATAAGCCCCTCCGAATATGAGCCCCTCCAAAAATAATCCCCTCAAAAAGGGCCTTTGAAAAAGATAAGCCCCGGGGCTTACTTTCGGAATTTTACGGTAGCCTTTTTCAACTAAAAATAAAACGGTCAGCGCAATCACATCTAACTTCTTGCGACATTAAAGGAGATCTCGGAGGTTATTTCTGTTGGCGTAGAAGGTAAAAAGTTTTCGAAAAGACGGCGACACGATGTTTTAGGTTTAATATTTTGGATGGGCGCGCTCGAATTAAAAATACTGAAATATCTATTTGTCTGTTGCCTTGATATTTTCCTCGGCAATTTTCCCCGATTTTCAGTACATAAATCTTTAAAAATCTTGGAGAAATATATCGCAAACTTTTTCAAAGGATATATAAATTATCTCGGAACAAAACAAACGAGTTCTCAAGTGCATTTAGTCCCGTGCATACACTTGCAATTTACGAATTTACTAGAGAAACAAACGTCTAAAAAAATATCTTTTTTTATAAATCCAGTTAACTCTTTGTAGGTCAGTTGAGCATGCAGTTTTAGAAGTGTCCATTCATATTTAACTGATATAAACAAAACGAAAAACAATATTACAAAGACACTTTGTAGTTCTCCTTAGTTGTGTTGTTGTTTTACTACAGGTCTAAAAACTTGGCTCGCTAAATTTATTAATCGAAATTAACAAACAGCAAACAGCTAAACGAGTGAGGACACCAGTTTTCCTGGTTTGTTT